ATAAACCCTTATTTTAAGGAATTTCACTTATTTTTTCAACTTGAGTAAATGTTTTCTCTGTGACACTTGCACTGTGAATAATAAACTCATCTGTTCATTATTTTTATGGGGCCACTCCAGCGATGTGATATTTCGCTTTGATAAAAAATCGGAAGGCTCATAAAAGCGAGATTAAACGAAAAGATCAAAACTTAAAGCGGCGCACGCTGAAATATTCCGACTCCCCCACCTGCTGTTTAAACCTCGCACCTAAAAATTGTTTTCTGTTAAAAATATTACGTCTGAAAGCCCGAGCTGAGGCAGCGTCGGCCACAGAAGCCATTAATCAATGGCTCTGTGATGATTAAACTAAAAGTCGTGTGTAAAAGCGGCGGGGTGCCACTTTGAGCAGCGCCTAATGCCAATAGGGTGAATCAGGATGAGTGCAAAAAGGAAAAAAAAAACAGTAATGTCAGCTGAATGTGGTTTAATGTCATGTGATGGATCTGGCAGATGAAACACAGAGAGGCTGCTTTATGCACTCACTGATGAAACGCTCCGAGGTGAGGCATTCTGCCATTTCATGCTACTCCAGAAGTCTGTTTTAAGTAATAACACGCGTAAAATTGCATTTAAATCTCACGAAACACAACAGTGGTTTGTGGTCCATATTTATAGACTAAACAATGTTTAGCCGCTCCTCTCTGGAGAGTGCTGTAATTCAGTGCAACCGAAGGAGAAAAGACAAACAAGGATAATCCAGAACTTCTATGCCTAAAGGGGGTTAAGAGTCTTGATTCGAAGCTGTTACGCCTTTGAATTATGCATGACATAATTATACAAGGGCTTTTTTTTGTGTTGTTGTTACATAACGTTATTTAGGATTTCGCTCCCTTCTATATTCTACGAAGCCGATGCACAACAAAAACAACTATTTGCTTTGCACACTGAATAAACGAGAAAAAAAGGAATAAATCCAGTAGAAGACCACCACAGCTGTGTGAAACTGAGAGTGATGTGTTGGAGAGACTCCCGTGCTCCCAGGCCTCGACACAAGTGGACACTAAGTGGACTTAACGCCTCTTCCCTCAGGTGTGTCCACTAGATAAGCAGCCACTCTTGGGCTCTGAGGACATTATTCCCACCTGACAGTTAAAACTGAGCCGGAGAGAGGCGACGAGAGACTTTCTCCTCCTTCCAGCTACTCTGAACCACAAACAGCAGCTCTGAATCCTTCTTAGGCCTTAACTCCCCGTCTGGCTTTAGATTGTTCGTCATAAACATCCAAGTTAGAGCTGATCGCTGATTATTAGGTCGCGACAGCAAGCGGTGGTGGAAGAAGAAGCGTAGAAGATCCGCTCCTGATTCAGTATAATTGTAAATACAAATTCATCGTGTAGCAGCAGCAGAAGAAGCCTTAAACATGTCAGCTCTACTTAAAGTTCACTACTAACCACTGCAGCTCCTTAAGTTGTAAACTGCTGCTTCTGAATTCAATTTTTAATGTTTTTTTTTTCTACTTTCAAAGGTTCTTTTTTTGTCTTGCTTCAAGGGAAACTGCCTAAAAATGTATCAGCAAAATTTCAGTGCGTGTTTATATTCTATCAGTGCAGGTGCATAAATGTACAAGCAGCATTATTCATACTCCAGCTGGCTACGGTGCAGATCCTTTTAACTACTTTATGTTCTGCTGGATGGTTTATCACAGAACCCATGATTCCTTTTTTGTGTATTTTGCATTTCACAATATGCAGAATCAATAGACGTTAAAACGATCGCTGGCCATCGATTTAATCCTTAAAAACTCATCTCTGTGTATTAAAGGTACATATTTAGAAGGTTTTTTTTTTTCAATGGCTCAGATTAAACTCACCTCTCAGATCTCTCCCCTCCCCATTTGCTGCAGCTCGAGCACACCAGCTCACCTATGACTGCTCAAATGCTGCAAAACACAATGGCTCTTTGTAATATCGGAGTGGTTCAGCTGCTCATGTTTGAACCGATTTTAAAGAAGAATAATGATACTGAATACTCTCCAAGCAAACTACCTCCAGTCCTCTCTGCTGCTAAATTAAAGTGCAACTAAAACTCATAAACCATCCATCATCTCTACACCTTAATCCTCACTAGGGTCATGGGGGGCTGGAGTCTATCCCAGCTGACTCAGGGTGAAGGCAGGTTCACCTGGACAGGTAACTAGTCTATCACAGGGCTACACTTAGAGACAGACAACCAAGCACACTCACATTCACACCTACGGACAATTTAGAATCATCAATTAACCTCAGCATGTTTCTGGACTGTGGGAGGAAGCTGGAGAACCTGGAGAGAACCCACGCTGCACGGGGAGAACATGGAGACTCCACGCAGGAAGATCCCAGGTGTCCTTGCTGCGAGGCGACTGTGCTAACCACAGAGCCCCTGTGCAGCCCAGTATAAAGAATCATGAATATAAATAACACATCTACAGTACAAATTTGTATTCAAATACAGTCTTCGTAAATGTTCTTATCTGGCAAGCATTGATGTTGTGAGCTGCAGGTTAAGTTAACTTTCCTCCCCAGCATTAAAAGACCCCATCTGCTGAAAATCAAGTTTCGTTAACGTTCCCATATGGTGTTTTTTTATATGCTGGAAAACACAATGAGCAAGAACAAGCAGTGGCTGAAGTTTACTGATGACATTCTTGTAGTTTAACCGTAGCAACTGGACTTGCTTGAGTTCCTTGAAGACGTTCCACCTCTCATCCAAGAGGCTTCATCAGTTCTGACTGACTGGTTGGGAGTTCCACATACTGATATCCTTAAGGAGCCATAACTGACTGAGAATCTTCACCGACGACATTCTCTTCTGGGCTTTCGTACGTAATAAACCTAAGAAAGCATTAACGTCAGCTTTCTGTATCCTTCTTCTTCAGAGTCTGTTTCCAACACGAATTGCTGAATTACAAAACAACTAGTCGTGTAGCATAACACAGTATTTATAAGCAGAGGTGAGCCGGCGTGCTCGAGCTTCAGGAGCGTAGAAAGAGGCACGGGCTTCACAAAATGCAGATTGTCAACCGTGTAGAGTTACATCTAAGCCATTTTCTTTTCTTTTCAAAGGAGAAACTTCTAAAGATGTAACTTTAATACACAGAAATGAGTTTCTGGGGTGAAATCAACCACAGAGGGACTTGAAAGTGGCAGTCTCAGAGTCTCTGAGCGGTAATTGCAGAGGTGTGTTTCTGATCCTCTCAAACAGTGTCGCCTGTGTGAAGTAATGAGTCAGTTGGCGGTTCAACTCAAGGTCACCACACACGACAGCGAAAAGGGAAAAACGTTGTGTTAGATTAAAAAAAAAAAAAAAAAAAAAAGTTTGCTGGATGGTTTGACCCTGTCTCCAGAGCTCAGCCTGTCTGCTCTGATAGAAACATAACATGAGTCACTAACTGTGCCCGACTCATGAATTTGCACGGCAATGTCATCACAGTTGGTAGTATTGTAAATGCAAGGGCTTTCATCAGTGGGCTCATTCACCTTTGCGTTGCCTCATTTTGCCACGTTCCTTCAGGGTTGTCGCTTTACTATCTGAGCACGAAGCAGGTTATTACTAATGCCTGATGTTTGTGGAGGTTAGAGGGAGCAGTGATGTGGCTGTGGTTGCTAAAGCTGCTAGCGCCGGCTACGGACAGTATATTTTTAAAGCATATAAGCAGACAGTATCAGTTCATATAATCTTAATAAGTGTTAACAGTGAGCCAACAGCTGAGCCGGATAGATTATGTGTAATAACTGTGGGGAAGAAGAGACAAGAAAAATGGGAGGCGAGGGCAGGTGGTAAAGTCGGGGTGGCAGCCTGCAGTCAGCACATAGCGGCCACATGAGACAGCTCTAACAAGAGGAGTGTTTTCGCCTCGCCGGTGCCAACGCACACAGCAGTTTATGGGCTCGGTTCCACCGGGTGCATTAGGAGGCCCTGTACTTTTTGGTTTGAATAATGCCTCGCCTCGGACTGCGTCTTGAGCACAATGAGCAACATTAGGATCTTTGCAGCATGTGACCGTCAAAATGTCACCGTGCCTGTGGACGTTATGATTAGCACAGCACCTGCCTCAGGAGCTGGTTTCCTTTCCTACAAACCTGAGGCTATTTGCAGGCAGGAAATGTCAACTTTTTTTTACAAACAGCCGGACAATAAAACAGCAAGAAGAGGGACAAGCACTGCGACAAACACAGTCAGCTGTAAAAAAAAGTTGTGGCATTACACTTTATTTTCCTCTTCCTTAAGCTACAGAAAGCTGTCATCTCTGTTTCTTGTCACGATTAGGCCTCATTCATCCGTCAGCTTGTGCAATGCAGCAGCGTCGAGGAAAACAAAAATCAAATCACCTTCAGCTCGTTATCTCAGTCATTCTCCTGCAATTTTTTGCTCCAAACTTAACATTTATCGCCGTCGATTCACTACGAACTGCATTTGCATAAACACCACCCACGCGCGCTCAAATTACACGGTTTAGCTCTTCAACGAGCGCGGCGGTTAAAACAAACCTTGAGATTGAATAACGCGCGTAAATGAAACTCTGCCATCAGCTCACAAAAGGAAACACTCACTAGTTTTTTTCCAGTAACATTTTTTGACCGATGTGAGTTTAAGGAAATTAAAAGCTTATTAAGCGCTCGTCTTTTTTCCCTCAAGAAGTTAATTAGCCCCCGATGAGCAGTGCTGCCGCAGCTTTATGTCTTTATAGGTGGATGTTCTTGACATTGGCGAAGCCTCACCGGACGCCAGGAGGATCCATAAATTGATGGAAACAACCCGAGTGCTGTATCATTTTACAGCTCGTGGAGGTTAATTCAAAGAGTCCATTTCACATTTCAAAATAAAAGCACACCAACAGCATTTTTTTTTTCCCAATATATAACTTTATTTAAAATATTGTTACAATTTATTACTCTACACAACATTTTCAAAACTTTTTTCCTTTTTCTTATACTGGTTAGTAAACCTTCATGGGTGTTTGTAAGATATAAAACTCTCCATTTTTTTTTGTTTGTTTTTTGTGTTTTTTTTTGTTTTTAGCCTAGTTCTGCCTCAAGGTGTTAATTAATGTCTTTACACACTTAGTAAATGAGACACCGCCTCCGTTTTAAACACCTTGTTTCGCTGTGTGTTCAGCTACCCTCCTCCACACACACACACACAAAGCTCATGATCGATGGTGGCTCTAACGTTGTACACTATAATTTCCCCAATCTTTATAATTTCTGTTTAAATAAATAAAGGTTCTGAGTTGGAGAAACAAGAGTGCATTTTTTTTTGTTTGTTGTTGTTGTCAAAAGGATATTCTTTTTCTTTTAAAACAACTATTTACAGGTTATGCTGAAGACAAACAAGGCTTGTAATTAATGTCGTCTCCTACTCGCCCGTCTCTCAAAGCAAAGAACTGAAATTAATTACACAAAAGGCAAACACTTTTTCTTTTTTTTTTCCCCAAACAGCACTTACATCCACCCTTCAGGTTATTCATAGGTAGGACGCGTCAGCTAAAAAAAAAAGAAAAGAAAAGAGAGAAAAGCCAGCAGCTAATGCGCTCTGAGCCAGATGTGCGTTCCAGAGGTTGACGAGCATCGAGTCTACGCACGAGTGCTGAGGATGAGACGAACACGGTGGCTCTGACTGAACCCACAGTGTATATAAAAAAAAAAGAGTGGCTGAGTGGCCTCACAAAAAAAGCCACTTCAGACCCTGGAGTATGAGCCCTGTGAAATGCAGAGGAATTCGAATGAACAGAAAAGACCGTACACAATACCTGAACACTGAACAACGCTGTGAAAAATCAGTGCTGATCTGGCACACGAGACTCAGAAATGTGTTCCTATAGCAACGGCATCATTTAGATCAGTGGCGGTTTGTGGCGAACACAAACTTTCTGAGCCTCACGTGTGGCCATTTATCTTTTTTTTTTTTTTTTTAATCCTATCGTCACCATGCTCGCTGTACCGTCCAACATTCATTTCATCTGCAAAGTCCTGCGTTAAAAAAAAAATCCCACCTTCTTTCCATAAATAATCATTCACTTACGAGCCCAGGCTGTCCGGCGACTCAAACACAAACACAGGTGGCCCACAGCAAACGAAAACTGACAAACACGAGCCGACTGTACAAAGACGTGCTTCTCAACATTCCTGTCATCTTTGCTTTCACCTAAACACTGATACTATGACATTTAGCTCACCGATGAAGCGGACGACAACTGACAGAATACACACCTGCCTGTGACTGAGCATAAGATGGCACCTGGCGCAGACGAGACGAAACCAAACCACAAAAATATATATTAAAAAAACAAAAACAAAAAAAAACAGAAAGCAGCTTTCTAAAAGCCTATTCACAGCAGCACGAGCCACGGGGACGTAGAACAAACATCAAACAGTAAAAAAACACTGCTTTGAATACATTATTGGGAGGAGTGAGTCAGTTGGCTGACAGGAATAAAAGGAACAGAGGCTGCACTGAGTGTGTTGAGCCAACGTGGTGCTGCCACGGCAACCGCATCCCCCTGTGATGATGGGAGACCAACCTGGAGAGAGTGAGGAGGGCAGAGGACAGACGAGGCAGCACGCACAACCACAAAACCTCTGTATCTATCCCCTCTACATCTTAGAAAAAGAAAAATCATGGTGGTTGAACAGCTCCAATTCTTGTGTCATCCATCTCTAAATTGGCTATTACTTCAGCTGTCAAAGTGACCACCCGGCAATCTGCAATTCTCCATCCAGCTACTTGTGAAGTGTGTCCAACCCACAACATGCTGCGAGAGTGTGCGACCGAGCCCCGTCCTCAAGTAAAACATCTCATGACGCTGCACTTGAAATTTTTGTCACAGAGTTAGCGGGGAGATGGGGGATGTGTGTGTGTGTGTGTGTGTGTGTCTGTGTGTGATCGGCAGTGAATGCTAGCTAGACAATAGGAGACGCTTCCCATTTGTCTCCATCTGTCTGGTGTCTCCGCTGTCATGCACATACAAAAACCCCATCTTCATTTGCTGGCTCTCGCACCGACAGCTCATCAGACGCGTCCAATCAGAGCCTAAAAGCTTATCAGCAATGTCAATGATAAACACAGAGGACACGCTCGCACATGAGCACGCTCCAAGGTAATGGACTGAAAGCAAATTAAACCTGGGCGTGAAATAAACATCTTCTTCCCCCAACTAAAACCTCAGCTCAAAAAGAAATAAAGTGAAACGCTGTGCTCTCAAAGTTAGTGTGATTTAAAGAAAAAAGACAAAAAATTGCTCTCAATTTCATGTTTGTTTTTTTGTTTTTTTTGCCAAAAGGCGAGCGAAGCACAAGAATGAGTCAGTAATGAGTTGGCTGAGATAAACCACTAGCCCTTAGTGGGATAAACAAAACTATTGCATTGAGGCGAAACTGATATCAAGAACTGTGTGCACCCTGCCTCCATTCAGGGGACTTTGTTTTGTTTGTTTGTCAGCGTGTAAACCTGCTTTCTCTGCATTTCAGGTGAGACAAAAAACATCTACAGAAACATGAGACACACAATCGAATCTATTATCTGTGTGCGAGAGAAGAAAAAAAAAAAGAAACTCTGCACATAGAAAACTGTAGATAATCACACAAAAAAAAAATCATCTTAAATTATGAGCTTATCACTAATACTGTATCCGTTCAGGTGCAGCAGGAGGCAGAGAACTGGCTGCATTGCTATCTACGTATGCTGATGGCTGTGGATGCACAAGTTTATGCACCACCTGCTTCCTGTTCCACACACGCACACGCACACGCACGCACGCACACACGCACACACACACACACACATATAGACAGACAGACAGACACACATATCTATCCTCCTGACTCGGTTAATGGACAAACCGCAGAGGAAGGAGTGATACTTTCGGGTGAGTTACAGAGCCAGAGGGATCACTCTTTAAGAAGCTCTGAGAAGATTTCTGCTCCAAACATACGACTGAGTGGGGCTTACGCTCTGCTGCTCCCTGCTGCCCGTTTAGAAAACTGCAGCTCAGCGGACAACAAATAATAATAAAAAACAAAAAAACTCTCCCATTCTGTCCTTAAATTCACTGTCTGTCGGTAGGATTGCGTAAAGGTGTGACGTCTCGAGAACATTAACGCTTTGGTCATGAACCTTTTTGTTCAAAACATTACTCCTCCTGCACGGCGCTACGGAAACGAGGAAGCCTCCTCCTCTCAACTTACAACCTCTGCAAAATCACCACAATAAAACACTCGCAAGGGGGATAAATATCCATACTGACATTAATGGCCGGCTGCCAACTGGGTAGTGTGGGTTAGACCAGAAGACAAGATGAGAAATGGACGTCAGTTAGAGCGGCTTGAACGTAATTCAGTTAGCATTTCATTGTGTTAGATCAAGAAACCAATTATTTTTAGCTCTTATATTAATCTATGTTTCATCAGAAGTAAGATTGTTAAACATACAAATAATTCTGAACACATCTCCCCCGGTTTGTGCCGCCTACGTTTTCTGACAAAGACGGGATACTTACGACCCCGGAGAAGGAAAGAAAACATCATTTTTGTGTTAATGTCCAGCATCAGTGTGAAGCTTTCATCCATCATCACCAGCTGTGAAGGAAGCGGAAAACAAACCCCCGTTTTCTGTAGCTCTCCCTTCTTATTTTCCTCTCAGCTCAGTTCGGCAGGCGAGGCCAACGCCGCGGGGTTTGGACTGAGTGGGGTCTGAATCCCATCCCAGGAAGTCAGCTTTTGGGTGAAGTGGCGTTTCGTTGAGGGGCTCCCTTTCTGCGCTGCTGTGGTGACCCTTCACACACTGTATTGATTCCTGCTCCACATCACAGGGCAGACGCATGGAAGGAAAACAACGAGATACACTACGGAGAAGCTAGTAAATGACATGAGAGTTGACTTTTTTTTGTTGATTTTCCTTCGTCGCTCTTCTTACTGCGCGCGTCGTCCCTGGGTTCGGTTAAAGTGTGACTGCTCCAATTTCCCAAATCGATCGCGTCCGGTTTTGTTTGTCGGGGCAGGGATTCGCCTCAAGTCTGTCGCTCGGTCCTGTGTTTGTCGATGGGCGCTCTCTGGGGTGGCTGTGATAATGCGAGTGGACCAGTTCTAGTTCAAGTGATGACAAACGGTTTTAGGAAGTCGCGATCTCCCCCCCTAGGTGGCGCCATCCCTTCTGCTGTGTCTCGAGAGGAGGAAGAAACTCTGGAACACAGAGACACGGTTCAGGGGAACAAGTCTGAACGGTTTGGCTTTTTTTTTTCACACATCACGTGGCATCATGTGTGCAACAGTGTCATTAGGACGCATTAATTATTGATTGTTATTAAACTACAAGTCCCTCTGAAGCATTCTGACGCCTCACATCTGGATGTCTTCAAGCTTTTTGGCTGCTCCTTTTATGGCTCTGTTCCTGTAACTCCAAAGCTTTCTCAATCACCCTCATTCCTCACAGTTGCTGGTCCACATACTTGTACTGTGACTGTGTGATGTCTCACATGGGGCCCTGATAGCGAGTCACATGTAAACACATCTTTGCCTTTTTTCCCTGTACGCACAAATACAGTAGTATCGTCACAGTCATCTGATGTAACCGGAGGAGAATTTACTCTCAGGTGATTTTTCTCTGCTTTGTAGTTTCCCTTTTGCTTTGCTTAGTGCCTCATAAGCAGATTTAGAAGCAGCACAAAAACCTATGCAAGCATTCGAATGCACCTGAACTATTCGTACATTTACATATTTTTGTCTTTTAGAAATTAAACAAGACAGCATACTTGAAATCTTCTCCCTGCTCTTGACATTTTAGGTTTCGTTAGATAGGAAATCTTTTGAATAATTCATGGTGCTTGATGAGCGCCATCAATCAACGCGCCACTCACGAGCATATCTGGATACATATTTCTGTAAGTTCTGCCCCAGATAGAAATCTAGCCTCTAACCTTTCGGCGCTGGTGTTTGCAAACTGTGCTACAGAGAATATCATCCCTTTGAATTTAGGACGGAGAGAGCGTGTGGAATGCTCGCCACTTACCGTTGTTACTGCAGTTCTTGTTGTCTTTATCAGACGCCTCTTCCTCCACCTGAGAGCAGAGAAATCGATACACGACAAATACAAAAAAAAAACTCATCATTTTTGAAGTCGAGGCTTTTGTGTCTATCAAGAAAAAAAAATGCGAGAACGGGCTAAGTTTAGAAATTCAAAGCTGGCATGGAGTCGTACGCTTCCAAGAATGAAAGAGGAAAGGAGTGGTCTTTACCTGTTTCCTCCACTTCAGCTCACAAAAGACCCGCTCGAAGCACTCATGCATGTAGTTAAACTGGGAGGGAAACAAAGCAGACAGAGTTACTAAAGAGAACATGTTAAGGCAAGTGCGTGTATTATTAAATCATTAAAACTTAATCCTTAAACAATCAACACAATAAAAACCTGCAGAAGTGTGACAGACAGACATGCACACTTACATATGGAGTGAAGATCTTGACCCAGCGAGGTTTCTTTTCTCCTCTGGCATACTCGAAGCAGAAAGCCATGCCCTCCTCGTCAGTGTCCCAGCGCTGCATCTCCCCCCACTCAAAAGCTATAACCTGGTTCTGAGAGAGACAGTAGAGCAGTTTAACTCTGTGGAAATGTTGAGTTCAACATTGTTTTCAGTCAGTATTTGGGGAAATCTATTCGGGGAAACATAGAAATGAATAGATAGTAATAATAACAATGAATAATGTAAGACTGAGCACATTTGTACTGAACGGTAGCGAGAAAAAAAGAACATGCGGTGTTAAAAAGTGATAAGCTGGATCCCCCCAAACTTTCGCAGTATTCTACACCAGCACAGACAAATGCTGACCTCCAGCGTGCCGTCCTCGGTGCAGGCGTGCAGCTTGAAGTGATGGATGCTGATGGCCGTGATGACGTGGCCCTTCCTCCTGGAGTCACAGGAGCAGTGGGGGAAGACCACCTCGTTGTAGCCCTCGCACGTTCGCAATAGGCTCAGGTACTGCCGGGCATCACAGAGCACAAACACCTGTCACTACTACAACCAAGTTAAGGCAAACTACACTGTAGTTAACATGCAGTTTGGGAGAGCTCTCAGCCTCCCACAACCACATCACTGTACTGTAAATATAGCATGAATTTTTAATTTATGAGAAATCTGTTTATTGGTGTGATACTGCTGATGGAGCAGCGAGTGCACAGGCTCTGTGGTGGGAAAGCAAAGAGACTGCGACTATTAAGCCGTGAAAACAAACTTGTAACTCTTCAATTTCAAAGCACAAATGAATGAAGTAATGCCCTCTTTGAGTCACACTTTGGCTGAATCGTGTTACTTCGTTGCATGAAGCCAGATATTGCCTCACGCTCAGTTACAAATGAAGCACACATGAAAGAATGCTGCTTTAACTTTCCTCTTTCTGCCTCCTAAAAGCTTGGAAATGTTGTGGTGGGAGGCTGCATCTACACACAAAAGCACTTACTTATGCCACTTTCAATTATTATTCCACAAACACTGATATAAACTCAATGGCTTTCTCTCCGGTTACACCACAGAGTGCGCTATTATGAAGCGTGAAAGACTTTCTGACTTTTCTGTCCGTTTTCGTTTGGTAGTGTTTTGGTGATGGCTCTGGTAAGCCGGCAAAAAAAAAGTGCAGTCATCCCAATCCCCTCCCCCGAACAAAGACTGGTCTGTGGTACTGACCGTGGCCATCTTGCGCTGCTCTGCCAGTTTCTGCAGCTGGTAGGATTTGTCCTCTGTTTTTATGAATCCCTTTTTCACATCATCCAGTGCCTGGACAGACAGGGAGAGGGGATGGAGGGTTAGAGGGCGGCATGAAGAGACAGGACACAGAGAAGAAAGTGTTTTACATTTAAGTAATTTGGCGAAAGCGCGTTCTTCCTGAAGCAAACAATGACCTCTTGTGTACATGCTAAAGCGGCAACAGCCGATATTTTTACAACCCCGATATCGGCCACTAATGAGAAACCAATCTGACATTACAAAAAGGGCCACTCGCGGTGATGAACCCACAGAGAATAATCATCGGACTCTGCAGCAGGCTTCTGCTTCTCAGATGTTTTTAATGAGTTTCAGCTCATTGATTAGCTGACTGGCCGACCACTTTAATGTTTGGGTTCACTCTCGTAGTGGAATTCTTTTTGGCCACAGCGGGGAGCTACAGGAAACCCGCCGTACGCTACCTGCTCAGCACAACACAGCAGACGGTTAGCGATCAGCTGGTGAACAGGACATGGCGTTTAGCAGCTAAAGAGAGCCGAGACGGGAGAATACTGGAGTTGTGTTTGCCAGGTGTCTGGAAACACAACCCAAAATGAATGACGCAGCTAATGTAAGGACAATATCAGCTTAGTTGGTGATGATATGTCACAGCTTTGTCTGCCTCAGATGGCCTCCCCCGAAAAAAAAACAAACAATCAAAAACCAGCTGTTATTTAAGGTTTATATGAAGACTTCATTTGCAAAAACAGATAACTCCATCTTCACAAACCTTTTCCATCGTCCACCTGAGACAACATCAATCAAACTTAAGTTATCTCTGTTTTTGTCATGTCACTTCTACTGAGTCAAATCCACTCAGTTTGATCAATATTATCTCAAGCAAACAACAGAAAAAATATGTTTTCTGAAAATCCACAAAAATAAGAGTTATCTGTTTTTGAACTCTTCATATATTCTGGACAAGTCTGTGTTTATGCTTTCCAACTTGTTTTAATGGGTCATTGCTGAAGCTCGCATGCCTGAACTGCTTCAGGTAGTGACCTTCACTGGTCAGCGGACAGCCAGCGGCCTGTCACTGCAGCTAATTTTAGTTAATTCAGATTAGAGGATTTGTTTTTCTCTCGGTTCATCCTTTATACACTAAAAAAAAAAAACTTGTAAAAGCCTTTCAGTGGCTTGTTGAACGTCATTGTTCTCTCATTTCCTGATTATATACACGAAGTGTTGACCTTCTAAAGCAGCTGAGTCTTTGTTTTACATTCACAATGTCATTAGTGGGACTGGTTGGCAGTAGGTTGCCAGTTTGTTTAGACTGTGACTTTATGAGGTTGTGATTTGCAGGTAAAGGTCCAGAAGTGTAAGAAAAGACAAAAAAAAAAATCTACTTTTCACATGGAAATAGTCGAGTTGCCACAAAGCCTGATATTTAAAGGCAACTTTTAAAATGTATTATGTATTTTAATGAGACAGACCTCAGTCTCCTACAACCTTCAACAGGATAAAGCAGGTATGGCTGATGGATGGATAGATACCAGTGTTGTGTTTAATGTCTAAGAGAGCGGACAAAATAACAAATACACATTGTTTCAGCATGAGTGTGTTTACACTGACTGAAAGCAGATTGTTGCTGGAATAATTAACTATTCATCCATCTATTATCTATACACTGCTTAATCCTCACGAGGGTCCCTGGAGTCTATCCCAGCTGATTCAGGGTGAAGGCAGGTTCACCTGGACAGGTAACCAGTCTATCACAGGGCTACACTTAGAGACAGACAACCAAGCCCACTCACATTCACACCTACGGACAATTTAGAATCACCAATTAACCTCAGCATGTTGTTGGATTGTGGGAGGAAGCCGGAGAACCCGGAGAGAACCCACGCTGCACGGGGAGAACATGCAAACAGTGTCCTCACCGGGACGCCAACCGGCGACCTTCTAGCTGCAAGGCGACGGTGCTAACCATCGATCCACCCTTGCAACCCAGAATTATTAACTAGACCATAAATAGTTGACAGTCAAACAGAAAAAACATTACAGTACATTTCCCTGAATATGTCAGAAATCATCCATCACCGAAAGCGAGTGTATAAATTCTTGAAGGAAAAAAAAAACACCCAGAGGATCAAATTTTGGGCTGAGTTCCCTGAAGTCCGCAGCAAGTGGGATTCAATTACTGTTATTACCTGGTGAAAGCAGTAGTGCAGCGCCAGCGGGTTGTCTCTGAGCAACTCCTCCTCCTGGAAGCTGAACAACCATTTGCGGAGCGCTAAGCAGGTCCCCGGCACCGCCGACGTGTAGTTCTGCACATAAAGCTTGTGGGGAAACTCATTAGGCGCCAGCTTCCGCACTGAAACGAAAAAGGGCGGGAGGGACGATGAGGGGGGATGAAGAACAGGTCGTGCCACTAAATAAATAATTAACTGTAACCTACACCAAATTACCTGCCCTTGCAGTTTAAAATTGCACACGTACCCTTCGGCCCAATAAATTAAACTCACCAGTGGGGTTATGCAAGTCTGTATTTAGAAAACTAGTGGCCATGTGATAAACCCGCCCCTGAGAAAGCTTTAAATAAACACAAGAGGATGTGAAAATGGCCTGAAAAATTTCCCAGAAAAACAACATACAGTTCTTACCAAAGGAGTGGTTGATGACTTCGAAAAGGGCAAAGTAGCTCGCCATAATACTGTCCATTCCGACCTTTAACACTAATGCCTACAGAAGAGAAATACCGAGTGAGTTATGGGTCCACCAGGAGACGCATAGTTCTGTGTTTTATTGTGTGCAACAGAATCAGCCTCATATTCTCACCTGGTACACCTGATCTGTGGTGCTGTTCTTGCGGACTCTGACGGAGATGGTGGTCTTGTCTGGCAGCGCTATCCGCAGCTCTACATCTGTCACTCCGTTGTAGTTCTATACGGTGAAGCAGAGCATAATGAGAACAGCTGCGGAGCCACATTTACCCCTGTGGATTAAACAAGGGCTCCTACTCGCTCGTGTGTTTGTTCTGAGTAACTGCTAAGTACTTCCAGATTAAAAAACAAAAACCAACAAGCCATAACCAAACCTCAACTGCTATCTGTAAGAAGTCCTAATCCTCAAAATTGTGTTTCTTTAAATGTGGGATTAGATGGGTAGTATTGTAAAACACGAGCGGGGCAAAGGTTGACTCACTTTAAGACCGGCAGGCACAGCTAGCTACTGCTACCTTCAAGCAACGAATACAAGCGATGATGCTTGTTTAGAGCAAACAGCATACTTTTTGTTTTTAAATTAGACCAGAGGAGGTGAAATAAACATCCTGGGGCTCAGAATAAAGCCTCGTCCTTCTCCTCTTCATTTTCATTTTTAGTCAAATTGGAAAAATGGGATGAAAATGATTCTTGTATCTGTTGTGAACTACAATTAATTATATCACTTAATTTTAATGGCAAGCCTGAATTAAACTTTGCTGTCTGGTTTGTCTGCCTCTGCATGTCAGTAGAGAGACGGACTGCACTCAGTGAAAGATGCATCAGCCGTGCACTCAGAGGAGAACGAGTGTTTCTGCACTACGCTGCAAACAAGTGAGGATTTTTCACCAAGACTCAGGGTCAGCTTAGAGGATCCTGACTCTGGGACAGCCCTAATGCGTTCATAAACCATTCCTGTGGGCCGTTTAAGGTCGGCCTGAGTCTTTGCATGTATGTCAACTGCAGGAGCTGAGCCTGTAGAACCTCTTTTGGGAGATAAAGTAAGTACCTACTCAGAAATAGTTACTTCTGGGAGAACCTGAAATCAAAGCGCCATTTTTTCTGTCTGCCTCAATGATCTCATCGAGTGTCACTTTTGTTTTCTCAAACTTAGCCAGCAACAATGTTGTGAACTCTACCGAACAGGTTAACATAACAAATTGTTCTTCTTCCTCCTCATAAATCTGGAAATACGTACTATTCTTTGTTGTTTTGGTGCACTCAGAGTTACACAGGCTTTTCCTGCTCCTATAAATGCAACACCTCACACCTGTCCTGGCTTATTATTATATTACATTTCTCAAGATTATTTTCAGATATGGGACATTAGACCAGTCAATTCTTAGTATCAGCTATTCAAATTTCTAAAATGAAAGATCTAACTGAGGTGCTTTGCAGATTCCTTGTTAAAAGTTGTGCATTAAAGAACATTTTGGAAGGAAAAAAAACAACAACAAAATTTTCCAGACTCGAAGACATAACTTTTCAAAATCAAAAATGACAGAATATCCATGACTGAGACACAAACCTCATCTGATTCAGAGAGGAACTCTTGCATGATGTCACTCTCCCCGATCACCCGCACAGAGCACACTGGAGACAAATATAGAAAAAGATGGCGTGAAACGAGCGAGGTCAAAGAAAATCAAATAAACAAAGGGCGGCTAAATGTCACCGTCTGCATCCGGCGTTTAGATTTACATGATTTTCCATGTACTTTATAAAACTGATCACAGCAGGGTGTATTCTTCCATCCTTATACCGTTGCTGATATCTGAACAGGGACTTTGGTAGCTATTCGTTGTGAGCAATTAGCGTACCTCGCTCGAGATACTCCTCCAGGCCTCTGCGGCGCGCGTCCAGCTGCTGTTCGGAGAGGGAGAAGGGCCATTTGCCGGGAAGCTTTGGGAAGTTGAAGTTGGAAAATTCCCTCTTCAGGTTCTGGTGCAGGATGGCAAACTCTCGGTAGCGTTTTGAACACAGCTGTCTGCCTGACATATACACATTGTACACCTATAGCAAACAAAACAAAACAGCGTTAGAGGAAAAGGGACAGAGCTGATATCAAGTTTGGTTGAAGTGTTGAGGGCGTTTCTTTTTCTGTTTGCTTGCTTTAGGGAGGAAGCTCAGGCGAAGAGTGAAATCAGCACTCACCACAAACCTCTCGGAGTGCTGCTCTACATGCTTGTACGTGGGAATAGAAATGGGCACCGCCTGCTTGTCGCTGTAGTCGTAGTTGGGCTGGACGTCCTCGCCTCCTTCCAACCCGTCAGCCTCCTGAGGTGGAACAGACAGCACGGCCAGAACCAGCTCCTTCTCCCCTGCGCGGATCAGGTCCACCACCTGCTTGTGGGTTGCACCTTCGACGCTCACTCCATTACTAGAGCAAAAACAAATCGGAGCAACAGAAAGATGGAGGAAGAATGGAAGGGGAGAGACACAAAGAGAGTTAGCGAGGAGTTTTGAATATCTTGAATTACCTATTGTTTTCCACACAATCAGTCTATGTTTCAAAATGGCAGTTCATTCAGCGCTCCGCACACAAAAGGGAATATCAGACATCCAGCGCAGAGCGGTGCACGCTTTGGCTGCTTCTTTACTACGTTGGTATTGTATGAAATTAGTGTAGCACATACACCGGCACAAAATAACAATTAGGAAAACACACATCTACATGTTTCTCTCTTGACAGCAGCTCCATCAATTCAGAGCATCTTCCAATATCAAACATGGAGCTGATACTCTGCTTTTCACATATTTAAAATCCAGGAATCACACACGGTAATACAATGAATGACACAGAAACGTTTTTTGAGGACTCTGAAACATAAACTCCACCCGATGAGGACTGCTCATGTCCCAGCTGATGGCTCACATAGAGATCGATGCATCGGTGAATGCAATAGTTAATCAAAGCATTGATAAGGTTGTTTTTATTACAGCTGCAGACATGTTTCCTGTGCTTTGTCCCATTATACTGTGTGGTAATATCAGCGCATTGTCCTCCATTGATTAACACAATGCTGGGAGTGCTGAGCAACCAGGTCAGCTTTAATGTCCTTTCCTTTCGGTGCTGAGAGACACCTCCCTTCTTGGCTTCGCTGAGGCCAGATGGCATCAGCATCAGGTGTCTCTGCTAATCTTCCTATGAGAAACAGCGGGAGAGACACAGGAAAGCAGGGAACAGGCAAGAGCACGAGCACAGGGTCTGTCCATTTTATGCCGTGCCTCTATTCGGGTTTATAGATGCACATCTGTGTAGCATCGTGGATCACAATAGGGAAAATCAAACACATGACGCTTGTGTAAAACACAGACAAAGGTGGGAGACGGGGAGAAGCCGGTCTGTTGTGACAGAATTCCTCCGAGTTGTTCAGCTGAACGGCAAAATTGGGGGTAGGAGGGGATCAAAGAGGTGAAGATAAAGGGGAGAAGTTTTGGTTTCAACTCTAATCCCATCATCCTCGTGTCAGACAAAACAGAAACACAACCGTGTCTGTCAGACAGGTGTAGGATGGGAATCAGGCCGGGACAGAAAGGAGACAATATTAAGAAGGGCTGTGACTACATGTTCAGTTAGTTTATAAAAGAACACAGGCACATTGCTGTAACGATTGACCACAGCATAAAATGCATCTGACAAATGAAACTTGAGATAAGCGAGCAAATTTTAACATCAAAACTGTTTTGATGATAGTTTACATGTTTTATCTGTTGTCACACTTATTAAAGAAAACTGTTATTGGTGCCAAGGTTCAAAACTAATAAAGGTAATTGATCCACTTCTAACACTAAGGTGACAGAACATAACACAAAATTATTGCCTCCTTCAAACACACAAGGTCATTATTGTATTTTTTGTGTGTGTATTTTTAAGGTAGCCTTTGAAAATGTGATGATCTACACAAACTAAACTCAGGCAGTGGTTATACAATCAGACAATAAACACCACATGATAACTGGTTATCAGAAATGGAGCGCTGCCTTTGCTTGCCCGTAAAGCGTCTGAAGCAAAACGCTGACATACGACGGACTTCATTGAACCGCTCTGGTGAGTATTTGCGAAACTAGTTAATATGTCACATGATAAGTATCGGTGCTGTCATATGACCACACGGTGAGAGATTTAACTGTTGAAACGACAAAAACACACACTTTGCTGGAGCGAGCTGATGCCTCAGCAAGTAGAAGTAAAACCAGTGTTCCTTGTTTTCGGTTTCTGTTCTTCATGGACGTGTTTTCACTACTCAGATTTAATACTCCACTTGAAGCTGATATGCGAGGGCACAGATTTACACGGGCTTCCAGGAAACATATGGAACAAGTGCACACAGGTGTTTACTATGAGCATTTGTACACATTCCAGCATTTGCTCCTTGTCAGGGTCAACGCGTACAGGCCTGGAGGGAGGTTTAACCATGGCTTTATTAGAAGTCTCCCTGTCAGCAAATATGAGCTGATTGAGGATCTGAGAGCACATTTTCAATTGGGTTTTTGATTATATATGTGCTAAGAGTTCAAGGCCAGTGGACGCTTTGACCCATTATGTTCTGTAGGGAAGGACTGACAGCACATTTGCCCCCTGACTGTTCTCTGCAGCATTGATAGAGGTCCCTTGTACAACATGTCTCCAGGATCCAGGCATGAATAGCAAAACCACTCAAGGATACATGTAGTGATAGAAGAGCAGAGACAGCCCCTACAACCGTCCCATGTAAACACCAGCAGGGCTGCAGTGAAGGCTCTTCAGTGAAACGCTCTTCTCCAGGACACTCTCTCCACATGATGCTGGATCTGAGTGACAACACTGCCATCCGCCTTCTTTGGTTCACGGTCAAAACACTTACCACCACTGTACCGCATATGACAATGCAATGTCAACCGGACTGTGGTTTCAATTTCGCCCTTCCAGCCACGCTGAAGCAGTTACTGCGCAGGGAGCTAGCCAAACATACTAGCTACCTGGCTCGCTAGCTTGCTAAAGCTAATCAACATGCACAGCCTGTTGTCCAACTTATGTAAGCTGGTTAGCTTTCTAGTTAACTCAGCGCTAGCTTGGTGTAGCTATATCCCTTAATGTTTAGTTATAGTGTTAGGTGAACAATTAACCAACTAGCTAGTTAGTTAAACGGCTACTTCTGTTTTTATAAGACGTAAGTTAAGTAACGTTATACCCTGAAGACGGCTAATGTAAACGCATGTTTGATATTGGATCCACTCAGGCTACACTGGGCAGCTAGCCTTACTTGCTAACTCCTGGTCTTAATTGGACGGATAGAGGCTGACTTACACCTCCAGGATCCTGTCGCCCTTTGCTATCCCCGCTCGGTCTGCAGCACCTCCGGGTAACACGGCGCTGACATGCTGGAGAGGAGCGTACAGTTCCCCGTTGATGCTCCGAAGCTGTCCTCCTTCGCTGACTTGACCGCGGACATTGAAACCGTAGCCGGACTCCGACTTGACGATCCTCACCACCCTCGGACCTGACGTTACCGTGGCTGCGGTCTGGCCCGCGGTGACCGCCGACGAGCCCACAATCGGACCGTTACGGGATGCCGAAGGGAGAGCCGGTCGAGTTTCATCGTCTCCTACATCCGCCATCTTATTCGCAGGCGCTAGCCCCCCTCCAGTCGGTGTGTTCCAGCAGATTCAAAACAACACTCGGGCTCTGTCCCTCCGTAGCGTTAGCAGCACAGACCCACTCTGTTGGCGATAACCCGCCCCTCGCAGCGTCACGGGACACGGCCGCACAACGTGACCGACCGGAGGCGTCACCGGAGGTCTCATTACTAACATCTCATTATGCTATTTGTTAACAATGTGAGCGTTATTGTTCCGACTGTGTTGTGTTCTTATCCTAATTCCTTGATATTGTCACGTTTCCTGATAGCGGCCTTGCTAATCTTTAACAAGCATTGAAATTTTATTGATGTGAAGAAATCAGAAGAAATGGTTTTGGGGTCTTTTGAAAAATAAAGCCAGACAGATTTCTGATAAATTGCATACAGTACCATCTAATACAATAATATAATAGATAAGCAGCACTAAATATGTATTATTAAGCGTCTAAAAGGCTAACTAGCTAAATGAGGTTAAGCTAATTATGCTATACGATATTAGCTTGCTGTAGCAGGCTGCTTGAATTCTTTTTATTGTCCTTTAATGTCCTTGACATTATTTTTATGCTCTTAATTTAAACCTCAGTGACAATAAAGCTATAGTAAAGTTCTAACTTCTGCCCCAGAACAATCAGTTCTAAATTAATTCAAAATAATGTTTTCTGCATGTGTTAGCTAACAGCTTCACTTAATGTCAGAGCATCAGGATATAAAAAATAACGTTAATATAATGTTGTTTTTTTAAATAGCGTGAGGTAAGATTTTCAGATTTTAATTAGGTTTTCTAATAATAAAGTCTGTTAGGGTTTAATTGCTTTCTGAATGTGTCCACTTAAAGATGCTTCTTCTGTACATATATTGTTATTATATGTATATGAATAAAGAAAATAGACATTAGTATTAAGGGGGGCATCTTAACGCATTTAACGCAAATATTTACCCAAAACAATTATTTAAACAGTAAATTAATTGGATGTTTTACAGTCGTCCTCTAATGTATTCATACCCGTCCATTAAAGAAAAGGCAAAATTCACATTAGTCACTTAAATAACTCGAAACTGAAAAAAGTAATAATAAATAAAAATTTGTTAAATTAAAATTTAGTGAAATGAGACATTGCTTTTAAACTGTGATTGAAAAGAATAATTAAATAAATAAATAAATTGTCCCGGACAAATGAGAGCCCTTTGCTGATGAGCAGTGGGCCAGAATACCTGTCAACAGGTGCACAAGTCTGACTGAGAGTTACAGAGAACACCTGATGGCAGTGATTGGCTCAATCTGGTTTGGACTGAAATTGCCTACCATAAAAAAAAATAGAATATTTTTAGAGTGTAATATTTCTCTCTTGTTTATTTCAAACACGAATGCAAGTCACTGTTAATGCTGTGCTTTTTGTTTCATATGATCCTGTGTAACTGAGCTGAACAGGAATAGAAATGTTGATTCCCTGTTTTAAAAACCAGAGGCAGGTGTGATTTGTGAAATCACCTACTGGGCTGTTTGACTGGAATGAAAACGTGCAGGTTGTCAGCCCAAGAGGCGCATGATTACTCATTACTGTCGCACATACATTACATCAGAGGAATATTGGTGTTGAAGCACCCCCCCCCCCCCGAGCAGGCACGTGCAGTACGGACAGAAACAGTCGAAGAATCAAAGTTTAATCACTGATGGAAAACATTGTTAAATCAGTACCATCGTGAAAAATACTGTATTATTCACAGAAATCGCACCAAGTGTTCATCCATTCTCAGTCATATAAATATAAATATATTGACCTATATAAATGCACTGACCTGTGACCTCTACGAGTCCGGCTGTGGTTCTGTTTCCCGTCATCAGGACCGCCTGTCTGGCACTTTGAGGGATGTAGGGTACAGCGAGGTCAGGTCAGTGGCCCATTACAGAGCTAACACCTACAGACTCACACCTAAAGGCAATTTACACTTTACAGTTCATGTAACCTGCATGTTTTCAGATTGCACTCGGGAGCCGGAGCAGCCACTGGAAAAGCCCCACACGGGAAAACAACCTCCACGCTTTAGCCCCGGGACCTTCCTGCTGCCCCCTGGTGAGCAATTGTATTACACATAATATTTCTTTTTTTTTTTTTTACATCCTAATGTATGTTTTGTATTTAAAATCTTTTTTTTTTTTTTTTTTAATACTAAAAGCCATTAGAAATGTAAAAAAACCCCAAAATATTCAGGTGAAGTCACAACAAGTTATCTTTAATCGTATATCCACAGTGTTCTTACGTCAACAGTGCAATATATTTATTCTACTGTTTGGCTGTTACTCTGCTCATTCCTAACTGTATATACTTGTATTTTGCACCACTGGAGTTGTCTTTTAATTTTGTTGTACTTTGTGTATGAAGACAATAAAAACATTCTATTCTATTCTATTCTATTCTATTCTATTCTATTCTATTCTATTCTATTCTTCTTGGGGTCCGTTCACAACACAACATTAAAAAAACATCAATTTAAAATCACAGAGTATCAGCGAGACAACATCATTTAATATCAATCCAATGTTGAGACAAGAAAAGTTTTGAAAGCGATAAATAAATCAAAAATGGTCACAGACCCACAGCGCCGAGTAAAAAAAATAAAATTCACAAAAAAAAAAAAAAAGTTCCAAAACTGCCAGAACAAAATTTACAGGGAGCATGTTCCAAGCTGAGACCTCTCTATAAAGAACAGTTCTCAGCATGAAGTTTGTTTGTGGACTTGGTGCCACCAGAGGACATACACATGGCAAAAACCACCGACTACTAGTTTATCACCAAAGACGGAGGATGACGGTATTCTATTCTGGGCCGCAAGGTGGCGCAGTTGGTAGCACCGTCGCCTCGCAGCCAGAAGGATCTTTCTGCGTGGAGTCTCCATGTTCTCCCCGTGCAGCGTGGGTTCTCTCCGGGTTCTCCGGCTTCCTCCCACAGTCTAGAAACATGCTGAGATTAATTGGTGATTGTAAATTGTGAACTGCCTTCACCCTGAGTCAGCTGGGATAGACTCCAGCCCCCCATGACCCTAGTGAGGATTAAGCGGTGTAGAGATGATGGATGGATGGATATTGGCAGCTATATAATAGCATCTCCCTAAAACAAGCATTATTAGCCTCACCTAAAACTCTGTTGTTGTGGCGTTGAATGTAAGGAAGCATTTTTTTGCGTATGGATTTAATTTGTCAGAGAGAAGCTGTGTCGATTCATCTCAGCGAGCTAAATGTACTCTGTCATGTCATCTCTATGGCAACATCAATGCCATCCTACCTGTCATAACCTGCACTCGTGTTGCTCCAACGTCGAGTCTAGTTTCAACAAAAATTAAGCCCCTGAGGGTGTTCTGGTGCAAGCATCTTGAATTTAATGAGCTTACGAAGATTATCTTGCTGTTATATATGTGTGTTCAATATCAGTGTGAACATTGTTCTCAATGTTTGTATGGACAAAGCGCACAACTCCAGTCGTTTGAAGAAAAGTTTATTTAATTTTGCATTACAATATAATGTTTTCATGACTTCCTTCTCATCTTTTAGTGTGCGTTAGTGCTGTTGAGTGTGGGTAAATATTTATTTCTTCTTTCACAGAGAGGCAGCTCTCTCAGCTGGCCCCAAGGTGGCGCTTGGATCCTCATTTCTTGCCGCACAAGTAGTCGTTGCACAGCGTAGTGATGGAGCACACCAGGGTGACGTACTCCGTGAAATCCACGAGGCCGTCGGAGTTTGAGTCCAGGTTGCTGTAGATTTTATCTATTCCTGCCTTGTCGGTGGATTTCTGTAGTTGAGGAAAGCAAACATGTGGACTCATGCATCATCCCATTTGTTAGGCGTTTATTTAAAGCTGTCGTTGTCCCTGATCATTAAACAGAGGAAAAATGTCACTCAGTCTAATCATGCCTGAATAAATACACACCATATTATAGCATTCGTACATTTACTACTCTCTTGGTACAAAACTCATGTGCAGTAGGACGGTGTGTTCATACAGTCTCTATGCAGGACTCAGTATAACAAGGCCAGAGGACACTTACACCAATAAATCCCGCCAGTTCAGTCTGAAGAAGGTCCTTCAGCTCCCCTTTAGTCAGGGTGCTGGCATCTCCCTCCTTGCCGGAGTATTTATGAAAGGCTTTGATGAGGAGCTTCATCGCTGTCTCGACGTCACTCATGATGATGGCTGTTGTAGGAGGACAGAAGGAAATAAAAGAGTTTAACAGTGATATTGGGGAAATCTCCTCCTGTGACTGTCACTAGTATTCGTTATATATATTTATTCAGGTGACTAAATGTGAAGCTTTGCTCCAACATAATACTCTCATGTCAAGCTGCTGTGACTTTAGGTCTGGTAACATTAACTGGTTCAGATTACAGCGGATCATGTGGTATTGTGGTCAAATTTGGATTCTAACAAAGGACATCGTTTCTATCCACAACTTCAGGGTGTGGTTACAGGAAAGGAAAGAGAAGAGAAGAGTGCAGGCACTGTTTGGTAAAACCAAGTTTAAACAGATTCACTTAAAGTAGAATTTACTTGCACGTATTGTTTTTCCCTCGCTGTAGTTTATTTTGTCGATTTATTCCTATACGCTAATTATAAAGACATGTAAACATATAGCTGTGAAACTACTAATTTAAATTCATTAAACGCTCTTCAGCAGCAAGCAGTCGCTCATAGGTGGATAAAAATACACACTGGGTTTCCACCTGAGTCCCACCCTTCTTATTTCACCCTGACATCGGCCCCTGGCAACGGTTTATTCTCTCAAGGTAAATCTATTGCACTGGATAAAGAAGCACGTCAAGACTCGATTCAAATCTCAGTAGCAACATCAGATGTCTGTTCCCTTAATGCAGCGCGTCTGAAAAGTGTTTTTCCCACTTTTTCCATAAACCCAAGAGGGTTGCTGCGATGTGACTCATTCGGTTCTGTTCCCTCTCTGGGGTATGGTAGGCAGAGGAAACTGTGGCATCAGAGGGTGTGTAAACAGATGGGGAGCACAAAAACCAATACTTCATCGCTGTGCAGATGCTCAATGTGGTTGCAATTTAAAAAAAAAGCAAGAACAGAAGATTGGTGCCAGCGTGTGATTGTGCAATGCAAAGAGAAAAAAAAAGAGAGAAGGACCCTCCAGCCTCATTTTGTGCAAATAGCTGGCACTGAATCAGAATGGGCGATGCCTGTTGTAAGTTTCGCAAACAATGAAGAAGTTTGCTCAGAGCAAACACAGAATGAACGCAGATTGTAAAGCTTCTGTGTTCTTACATGTTTAAGCTTCGTTCAGATCAAACTCACTCTGACACTGTTGCTTGAGAAAAAAACCCCACCATGGGACATTTTTAAAGTCAGCAACTTGAAGAATGCACGATAAACAACAAACAACAAGATTTTCTACTCACCAGGGCTGGAATGTCAAAGGACCGGAGAGTGAAAGTCAGGCTTCGAGGGGCTGTTTTGGTGAAGAGACAGGAACGAAGGATGTTTTATACATCACCACACCCTGCATCCCTCCCTCTATAATGCTCCTTTCATCTAAAACCACTCCTCCTTCTCCCGCCACCCCCCCTTTGTCTTCCTGCTTTTTCAAACTTATGAAACACTGGATTTCTCTACCATTATGGTCCATGTTTGCATCAATCACAAATAAACGTGTCTCATCTTGCAAGCTCAAGATGTTCTGCTTGAAAGTGCCTCAAGAACAGACGCCATGAGATGCATAGAAGAGACAAAAAAAAACCAAAAGTGTTTTACGACTTGGTGCTTGTTACGGCTATAATATAATAAAATCCAGCGCGCTTACGTAACGGTCTCAAACAGACTTCTTCGATTTAATGTCTTCAAGACATTTGGGGTTTTATGTGTGCTGTTAGTTTACTGTTTCGCCGCCATTTAATTAACTTTTAGTGTACAAGTTTTTTCTGGAGAAACATCATGAGCTGCATTTATTGGCATCTCTCTTCAATCTTCCTATTCTGCAAGTGGCGAAGGGAGGTTTACAGCATTTACTGTGTGCACTGAATCAGTTTTTGTAACCATGTAGTCGCGTACAGCTGCTCCTTTTGTTCGACCTTCAAAAGAAAATCCACAGTTTGTGTCGCACACTTTAGCAAAGAGCTTTGCAAAAAAAGAAAAAGAAAAAAAAACAAGTCTCCGAAGAGTTTTGATCACGAGGTCAGGAGAACAAATGCAAGAACTGTTGTGAGAGGCTTTAAGTGATTCCTCAAACGGCTAATTTTGGGCATTTTGAACCATAACTCCAGCTGTGCCACAAATCCTGAATCGATCCTTATCCAGAATGAAGACCAAATGTGAGGACAATCATGGCAGTGCCCTTCAAGAAGAAAAAAACACACACAGAAAAGGAAATGAACAGTTATGTGTGTTAATTTATGTGTAAATGTGGATTTTCTGTCCACTTTTGTACTGCAGGACATTTTGATTATACGTTGCGCTGACTAATTTCTGGTGTTTTGCGCTTGTAATTGATTTGTTTTTCTATTTTCATTTTCGTGTTTGAGATGCACATGACTCCAAAGTGAAAACACTGGGCAGGGTGACTCACTGAGACTTTATTGTTACGGCCTTTAGTGAGAGGCTGTGACTCACAGTCATGTCCCTGAAGCTCAAATCCTACAATAAAGACCCCCCCCAAAAAAATCTGCACTGTGGCTAGTCTGTTTGCATGTCTGTTTCTGTGTGTGTGTGTGTGTGTGTGGTCTGCTGGATGACTTTGAATTAGATGTCAATGGTCTTGTACTTTTCCTGTCTCTCCTTTTTGGTCAGGGTACGATTGTTTAGGTCTCTAATTAACAACTTCAAAGTCAAGCTAAATGGAGATTAAAGTCGTAAGTCACTGTCACCACCATTCCAGTTTTTTGCATTCCTCTGTTTTTCTTTTTTTCTCTCTCTCTCTCCGCTGTGTTGAAATAGTTAGTCAGACTTTTTTCCTGTTGTCTCTTTCTCTAGCTTACTCACTCAGATAGACCAGATTAGGAAGGGAGTATCCATGGAAACCACATGACTGCATTATATCCAGCTGTGATTCATGTGAAACTATTCGCAGTGGCCGGAGAAGTTTTAATCACAGATCGAATGCTTGTGGCCAGCACTAGTAATTACACTCTTGTGCCATCTAGTGGTCCAGTGTACAGTATGTTCTGTTGCAGCCCTGCAGCCAAGGCCCAATCGAACGAGGCGTGCTAATTGAGCATCCACCCAGGGCCGTGCATTTCAGAAATACCAGAGTCATGAGGCTCCTCCGCCCGTGGTAAATCTTAATCTGAAACCAAAAATGAGGTTGTTTTTATTAGAGGCATGCAGCACGTAGGCAGTAGAGGAAATGTTAGCTCCAGCCTGAAGCCAAAAGGCAATAAAAAATAAATAAAAACGGAAAAATGCACAACATTTTTTGTTACATCTTTAAGGTACCCAATGCAGAAATAGCATTTAGTAGCAGCTATTATGTTAAAGGAATATTTCACTGCTTTAGAGTAATGATCTTGATTATGGATGAATTTGTTTTTTATTTTCTGATTTATTCTTAGACTTGTAAAACATTCGATGAAACGATTGAATAAACTTTTATTGTCACACTAGTGTCCTGTGATGAGCTCTGACAGTAAAGTTGTCCTTTATAGACCGACTGTTGCTGCATATTTGACCTTTCTTGACCTGTCTCCTTCCATCGTAGGTGACATTGTGCCAGAAATCCCTGCTTTTCTTCGACAGTCTAAACCTCAACATGTCTCAGTTTATTGTAAGTTGGGGATAAAAAAAAAGATGTGTAACTGGTCAAATCCTAGAAGCTGAAATATTTAGCATTTTCTCTTTTCTCGTGCATGAAATATAATCTGCTCTCAAAGCAGATGAATTTTTGATAGATGACTTAAAAAATAAATGGATTAACTGAGCAATCTACTAAATGTTAAAGCTCATATTAAACACCCTGTTTTGGTAGTTTAACATGTGCGATACATCATATTCTACAAGTCCCTTTAACCCGACCTATCGGGCTTTAAAAAGTAAAATATTTTCCTCTGGCATGTGGCTAAAAGAATAAAGCAGCACAAAACGGAAATTCTTGAAATTGTGCTCGTGTACAGCAGTTGAATATTTAATTAACAGCTGCCTAATGCAAACCAAGGATGCCGCAGCTTGTGGTTGACATCTTAACCCACTTGGCTGTAGATTTATAGTCAGTTCAGGAAAGTTAATTATACTTTTATTTCCCTGCGTTAAGATCTAAGTGTTGGATCAGTGCACACAGCGATCAGTAAGAGCGGCCATGTGAACGTTTTGAATCGTGGAACTTAAAAAATGGCTGTAGTGGCAGGTGTAGACACAACACTGGGTTTAAGCACTATTACAATGCATGCTTACGTGTCTGATGTTGTGATCTCAAGACTCCACTTGAACCTGCAATTAGTGTCTTTAGTACAGCAGCCGGTACGAGACAAGCGCTGTATCTGTAAGACACAAAGTTTAGGAGAACAGACGTGTCCCTTTAGCTCTGTGTAAAACATTATCAGCCTGTTTTTGCAGGTTACCCCAGTATCAAGATCACGATGGTTTGATGTCGCTCTCCATGGCAACGGCTGCAAACCGGATGCCGGCAGTGTTGTTCAGACTACGAGTGTTATTGTTCAACAGAGAGCAGCTTTTCTGCATGTGTGTCCAAAACAGTTGTGGTATGTGTTGGTGAGTGTTTGCTGCTCTCTGGACTCGCACTGAGCAACACTGAAGCTCAGTGTCTTCACTCAGGGAGCAAGACTCAGCATTGGTGTCCGCATCGGGTTTGTTTTACGCCTTTATGCCAAGTACAGTCCCTGAATTAAGTGCTGTGAACGCAACGATCTCTTGATACCAGCAAAAATGTGAACCGCACAAAAAGGCTTTTGAAAAAAAAACACAACAAAACACACAGTGAGCAATGTCGGAAATCCCGGCTCTAAACTCAGCTGTGGGTCACATGGGTGTGGTGCTTGTGTAAACCGAGGGGGTGACACACACATACACACACACACACACACACACAAACACACACACAAACACACACTCAGAGCATCATCACCTAGCAACAGCAGTGTTTACTCTGTAACCATGAACACTGAGCAAAAAGTTAGGCCCTGCCCAAGGAGGTGTGTGCACAGCGCCATGAAGATGTCTTCACCCTGAGTTTAGCCTGGCAGGCAGAGCTTTAGCCTAAACAGTCCTACTCCTCTGCTCATGAAGAAATGGATTCACTGATAGAGCTAAAAGTTAGGCCCTGCCCAAGGAGAGGTGTGCACAGAGCCCTGAGTTTAGCCTAGCAGGCGGAGCTTTAGCCTAAGCAGTCCTCTGCTCATGAAGAAATGGAACTTGTTTGAAAAGAAGTCCTGCCTGGGAGACTTCCTTTTAGAGCAAAAAAACCCCCAAAGTTTCTGCTCAGTTACAGTCAGAAGGTGGGTGGTGGGTGGGATCGTCCTGCTTCTCTATTTGGTGTTTCAGCAGACATGAAGCACAATGAAAAGAATTTTGTGTGTGTGTAGGGGGGAAAAAAAACCCCAAAACAGCATTGTACCAGTCTGCTGTGCCTTTCGACTCATTCCCTGCACATTTCTATGAGCCTTGCCCGCTGAAATCACACTGACTTGAAGGCAACAAACGTGCCCGACACCCTATCGCCTGATTTATCTGCTCGTAATGTGGAGAGTTGCAACATCAGTGATTGCGCCTCGCAGAGAGGTGTGTTCATGGCCGGGACATTCTCTGGATTCCTCTGGGCAGTGATAAGCAGGCCTTTATCGAGCAGGGAGAGGCTCATCTGCCCTTTAACACTTGAGGAAGCATAAAGTACAGGTAGAGATTTCATCATCACACCTAGTGCCAACGCTGTGGTTGCCAAGGGAATGAGATCTCAGGCAGGAATGACGTTCATGCAGGAGGGCGGTAGCACTGATCTGGAGCTTGCTTTCTGTTTTTATACACACACAGGTGAAAAAACAGGAATGTCAGAGCAGGTTTCATAAGGAAATCAGAGAAAACCACGAGTCTAAAGTACACACACATGTGACACAAAGGGTTTGAAGTGATTTAGTGTTTTTATTGAACAAAAGTATCTTTACAAAAAAACTGAAATACTCTTTGGTCCCTCACTGCTGTCTTTTACTTCTTTCCCATCTTCTTCATGTGCATCTGATAGCACTGCTCGCAGGCAATGGAAAGTCCGACAACCAGAGAAACAAACTCCTCAAAGTCCACCTGGCCGTCGCCGTTGGCGTCCAGGTCCTTCATGATCTTGTCTATGGCAGTGGGGTCCTTCTGAGACTGTGTGTAAAGGGAGGAGAAATGGATTCGAATGCAATAAGTGATATAATGATAATGATGAATGGGTGCGTTTAAATGTGATTACAGTCTCTTCTCACCTTGAGGAAGTTCGACAGCTCGTTCTCCATCAGCTCTCGGAGCTCCCGCCGGCTCAGCGTGCCGCTCCGGCCGTCCTTGGAGGCGTAACGGTGGAACACCGTGATGAGGGACTCCATGGCTGTCTCCAGTTCTGAAGGCATGGCTGCTGTGTTCTTTCAGTCTGAAAAACAGGGTTCAGATACAGATGAAATCACTGGTTGCACACAGATCGGTTTCATTTCCCAATCTGAGACAAGAACACTTGGATCCAGAGACTCTTGTACATGTTGACCTGATGACCTCATCTGAGCATTTAAAGGAGGACGACGGGCCTGATCCGGCTTTAAGTGAAGCAAATGTTGGTTTTGCATGATCTGTTGTCTTCTCCAGTGAGATTTATCTGGACGTCCACAGTGCCAAAGTGAGAAAACAGTAAAACTGAAGGTAAGACTCGGCCCTGAAAACCAGGATTGCTCCACAAAGCGATGCAGAAACAATACTTTGCTCGTCGTCGCCACTTCCCAGTCCTCGTGGGTGTGTTATTAAGTTGTTAGAAAATGATATAATAACCGCTTACGGACTCGACTGGCAAAACAATCCTAAAAGTCATCCAAAGCTGTAGTTGCAACAGTTAAAAGGGGAGAAGTGGGAGGGAGGACTGAGCTGGCCTTGTTGGTATAGGAGGGGATGGAAAAGTTGAAGAGGCTGAAAAAAAATGTGAGGTCCGAGATGGTGGAATTCAATGCAAGTAATGAGCGATGACAACAGAACACGTGTGTGCATGCCCACAGAGCCACCACACCCTTATACAAACTATGGTATAGATCAACAAGAAAAGGAACAGAGGAGGTGGAATGACACGAGGAGACTTGAATATGACGTGTACTTCTTATTCAGAAAATTGTCAAAGCTTACACAAACCCTGATGGGATCATATAAAGACAACAGACTGGTGTTACGTTTTTAAAAAATCTAATCAACAGCAGAAGAATCCACACTAATTATGTAACAGTTAAATCACTGCTGCTCTGCAGGGGGACAAAAAAAAAAAAAAAACAGAAAAGAAAAGCTGTGACTGGCAGCCGACTGAAGTCAATCATCCACATTAATCCTCTCACACTCCGCTAGTTTGACCTTTTACAGAGAGTTTTAGTAAGTTTAGTTTAGTAAGTTTAGCTTCGTCCTGACCGTGTCACACCCGGAAGACGAGCGCAGCACCGTTAGTACTCACCGCGCAGAGCTGGACGAGCAGGAGGTGGAAATGCGCACAAGTTTGGAGAAGAGGCGCAGCGCAGACTTTATAGCGAGGCGCCGCCCAGACTGACTGACCGACTGCTGTGAGTCAACGTGTGATCCTGAACCCTGCAACACGCTGGGATGGGCGGCGACACGGTTACACTGTGATAAACTTTATGGTTTTCTTCTTCCAGTGCGAAGAGAAAGCGCAGAGGCTGTTCATAATCTCAACAGTACACCAACCTCGAACTTTCTTTTTTTTTTTTTTTTTTTTTATTTCTCTGCAAAACCTTTAGTTGATTCAAAATGAACCAGAGAACCAGCAAGAAAAGAGAGAATTATAAATCCAGAACGACCACCTCTTCCATTAAAGAAAATGCAAAATTCACAACAGTCACTCAAATAACTAGAAACTGAAAAAAGTCATAATAAATAAAAATTTGCAAAATTCTAATTTAGTGAAGTAAGACGTTGCTTTTGAATTGTGGTAAAAAAAAAAAAAAAA